TTCTTCTTTATCTCTTGTAAGATAAAAGGTGTGATTCAAGCAAGAGTGGTGCATCCCATGCTAATCCTCATTAACATAACCTAATTATGCTTCATTAACATTACAGACAACTTACTCCCAAATGGGACCATAACCACAGCCATAGGGGCTAGGATTTATAACACATAATTACATCATATCACAAAATGAAGGACAACACACAATACTGGGAATCATGGCCTAGCCAAATTGACACAAACTTTTAGGTGACACAATTCAGTCCATGATACCCTCCAAAAATATCAACATTCTAGACTTCTAATAGAATAGATTAGTAGTATGTACTCTTTTCTATTGGGCTTATATATTTTATGTTTTTGAGACTTAGACATTTTGATCCATCTATTTATAGTTCATTCATTATTTTCGTATCCTAATAGTGTTTTAATTAATTCTGCTACTTATCTATTTTACTGTAGATGGGCACTGGGTTTTTTCCTCTTTTTAGCTATTATGGATAGTTCTGCTAAACACATTCTTGTAAATATCTCATGGGAGACATATGCATACGTTTCTATAGGGTATCTACTTAGGCATGGAACGGTTGGGTCATAAGTTATGTATATGTCCTGCCTTAGTAGGTACTTCCAAACAGTTTTCCAGGGTAATTGTAACAGTTCACATTCCCATCAGCAATAATAAGTTGCTCTGTAGCCTCAGCAGGACTTGAAATTATGTCTGTTTCATTCTGTCATCCTAATGGGTGTGTGCCATGTGATTTTATTTAACCTTTGTTAAATAAACTTTCTGAATTTGTAAAAAGAACTTGTTGCATGCTGTCCTATTTTCCTAATACTGCTGTAACAGAAATACCACAAATAAATGGCTTTAAAGAACAGAAATTTATTTTCTTATAGTTTAACCCGTTGCCATCAAGTCACTTCTGATTCATAGCAGCCCTATAGGACAGAGTAGAACACTCCCATAGGATTTCCAAGGAGCAGCTCATGGATTCGAGCTGCCAACCTTTTGGTTAGCAGCTGAGCTCTTAACCACTGCACCACCAGGGCTCCTCTTACAGTTTAAGAGGCTAGAAGTCTGAATTCAGGACATCAGCTATATGGGAAGACTCTCTGTGTCAGCTCTAGGGGAAGATCCTTGTCTCAGCTTATGTAGCCCAGCATTCCTTAGTACCTTGGTACCCATCTTGCCCCTTTTTGTGCTCACTTGTATCTGTGTCTCTGCTGCTTGTTATAACTCAGAGCAGTTAGGTATAGAACACACCCTACCCTGAAATGTATAAAAATCAATTGTCCTCATTGTCTACATGTCTTAGTTAATTGTACACAACCTTGCCTGACGAAAGTGAAGAGGACTTGAAGCACTTACTGATGAAGATCAAAGACTATATAGCCTTCAGTATGGATTACACCTCAACATAAAGAAAGCAAAACTCCTGACAACTGAACCAATAAGCAGCATTGTGATAAATGAAGAAAAGATTGAAATTATCAAGGATTTCATTTTAGTTGTATTGTAGTTGTTGTGGAATCAACGTCCATGGAAGCAGCAGTTATGAAATCAAACAATGCATTGCATTGTTCAAATATGCTGCAAAAGACCTCTTTCAAGTGTTAAAAAGCAAAAATTTTGCTTTAAGGACTAAGATGCCCCTGACCCAAGTCATGGTATTTTCAACCGCCTCATATACATGTGAGAGCTGGACAGTGAATAAGGATGACTGAAGAATTGATGCCTTTGAATTGTGGTGTGTTGAAGACTATTGAAGATACCATTAACTGCCAGAAGAATGAACAAATCTGTCTTGGAAGAAGTACAGACAGAAAATTTCTTAGAAGGGAGGATGGCAAGACTTCGTCTTACATATTTTGGACATGTTATCAGGAGGGACCAGTCCTTGGAGAAGCTTATCATCTTGGTAAAGTAGAGGGGTCAGAGAAAAAGAAGAAGACCCTCAATGAGATGGATTGATACAGTGGCTGCAGCAGTGGGCTCAAACATAGCAAAGATTGTGAGGATGGCACAGAACCAGGCAGGGTTTCATTCTGTTGTGGATAGGGTTGCTGTGAGTTGGAACTGACTTGATTCTACCTATGACACCAACAACAGCACTGAAATGGCCTCATTAACATAACAAAGAAAACCTATTCCCAAATAGGATTATATCCACAGGAGTTAGGATTCCAGCACATATTTTGGAGGGGAGAGGGGCACAATTCAATCTGTAACATACGTATACATACTGTGTTACCCCAACTTGAGTTTACATCCTATAGATCAGGGACCATGTGTTAGATACTTCTCTATTCTTGAGTAGATCTAACATGATGTACTTCTGTTAAGATGAATCTTGACTCTTTATACTGCTGTATGAAAAGACAATATATAGGGTGGGATATACAAAACACTAGAGGAGGAACGATACAAAAACAATCTATTGAGAGAGGAAAATCAAGTTGAGGATCTCTCTTAATTGTTAAATTTTATATTCATCTGCTTAACTCCAAGTTCATGCTAAAAAAAAAAGTGGTTCCCTCTAACCCACAAAATAAGACCAGATTTACTGGCCTAAAGGAGACTGGTGAAACCCC